TCTCTCTCTCTCTCTCTCTATTAGAGAGTCAGACTAACACCCGTTTCCACTTGAGTTTCCATTTTCTTTCCTCAAATTCTATAGGCTCCTCTACAATCCCATTAGACAACCTCTGCCAACCTTCAGTTTGTTGGTATCGTTGACGCGGTTTAGGGTTCAGGGTTACACAGGGTTTAGGGTTTAGGGTCATATAGTGTTTAAGGTTTAGGGTTTAGGGTTATATAGAGTTTATGGTTTAGGGTTTAGGGGTGCAAGCCCCCAGGCCTGCACGGTAGCTCCACAGCGAGCGGCTTCCCAGAAGAGCGCCGATTTTTCCCGCCAGCAGATGCTGCTATGGCTCAAAGGCACTCCGAAAGGAAACTAGGCTACGTCAGGGCCGAGGCACAGCTGCGGTGACAGGAACTCGTCTGACCTGAGCACAGCAGATGCCCCGAAGTGCTTTCAGCACTTGCATGCCCTCCTGCCCCTGAGGTGCTTTGCTGCTTGGCAAACACACGGGCATCAAGATCAGATACTCTCGGCTCTTGAACACTTCCAGAGTTTTCGAGGGGATCCATCCCTTCTGATCGCCTTCGACGACCGGAAAACATGTTTGGATCGTCAACGATCCTCCATTTCTGTTCCAAAGCGAGAAACCGAGACACCTGGTGTTCTTCTCCACGCTTAGTCAAAGTGTTGGCTAATTGCGCATCGGAGTGCACCCAGCGAATGATAAGTCCGGTTGTGTTTTGGGCTTCTTTAAGGGAGAGAAGTTCAATGTCAATTTTCTTTTGGGCACCTTTGGGGGTGATGTAAGGCCTAATGAGGCGGTCATACACATTTCTGGAATCCGTTACCAAGATGCCAGGCACTAGCCGAACATGATCTTCTGGAGCTGCAACTTCAGGTCGCATCCCACAGAACTCACCCCAGGCATACCGCATGAGATACAAGTTGTCCTCAGCGTCTATGGCTGCTCTAGCCTCTGCGCTCCCTGGAGAACGACACACTCTGTCAATCCGGCCTGACTTCCAAAACACAGGGGAAACCTTCGCAACCATCCCTTCCAAGAGGTTACTGGGGGACAAACCTATAAAGATCCCTTCAGTAGACTGTCCATCATGACGATTACGGTCACTGGCATCACACCATGCAGTCATGACAAGCTTGCTACGGACATCAAAAGCATGTATGATCATGGGTGTCTTGGCGTCTTGACGAACCTGATGCAGGAGCTTGTTGGCTTGTTCAAGGTGTCCTACTGTGCTCACCGGGATCTAGGCTCACATGCGCACTGTACTTGAATCCTACCTGTCCTACGTGCCAGCTGAGGGCACCGAAGAGTGCACGCAACTGGCTCTTCTCAAAGTCAGTGGTTGGAGCATGCTTATCCCTACGCCTATCACGGGACACTTGGATTTCAGACACCCCCTCCAGATAATGCTTCTGGCACAGTCGGAAGGAGCCATCTTCCGCACGGCTGACCTGAACCCCGCACTGTGTGAAGTTGTTCAGCTCCCACTCTTGCCACTGGAACTTGGCCTGAATCGCACTTTGCAACCGCTTCCAAATTGGGCAATCAGCATGACCAGCAAATAGAAAATCATCTACATGACCACTAATGATGGAAATAACACGATCACCCTCAGTGTAGATCCAAGTGCAGGGGTCACTACGCATTTGTTTATATCCCAAAGAACACAAATACGAATTGACCGTTTCAAACCACTCGATCGGAGCTTCGACCAAGCCGTAACAGGCTTTACGAAGGCGGCACACTGACCCGGCTGGCAAGCCAAGTCCCTCACAAAGCTCAGGAACCGGTATGCAATGAAGCTCACGTTCATACTGCCTTCCTTGAAGGAACGCTCCCTGAACATCCCCCTTCCAGCAAGACATCTTCTGCCAAGCACAGTACTGAAGTAGCATCTGTCTACTGTTACGGGTCATAGTGGGTGCGAAAGTGGGCCTATTGGCATAACCCGGGTCCATGTAGCCGAGTAAGACGGCTCTCGCCTTCGGTTTCTTGCCTCCTTGATCGTCCTCTTTGTAGGTTACAATCCACCTCATGCGCAAAGCCTGGTGTGGGTCAGGACGCTGCCCTGGGGGCAAAGCTTCTAGGGCTCGTGCTGAGAGAAACTTTTTGACTTCTGCGAGCTTGGCCTCCACAAACTTCTTCTTCTCTTCTGGAGACATACGCTTCTCTGACACCTCGACCGACTTCCTCTTTAGGTTGCGGACGAAGTACTGCTCAGGGTCGCGCAGGAACTTTTCAAGTTGCGTCTTGGTGGCAGGGAGGTCAAACTTGACTTCCACGGCGAAGCTGCTGTCTTCCCACAGCGCATTCTTTGTGGTGCCCCAAGCTTGTTCAGGCACCAGATCCACCCAACTAGCTCCTTGTGGAAGCTCTGAGGGGGAGCTCCTGGCACCAGCACGAATCCGCTGACTCTCCGATTCTGCTGGTCCTTCCGCTGGTCGCTTCCTGTGAACCCGAAAACGTGGGGCTGCCGGTATGAGCTCCTCCTCGATGTCACACACCTCGACTTCCATGTCTTCCTGGGCGCCAGGGGGAACAGTGGCGTCCTCATAGTCATGAGGACCAAGCTCCTCCACCAGCTTAGTGGTTGTCCATGGCAAATCCGACCGACACTTTGATGAGGCGCATGCCCCGTATCAGCCAAACCGATGAGCTTGGGCACACATGCCCTCCTGAGTGTTTGGTCTCCATGGCCAATATTCTGGCTGGGCCTGCGTAGGCACCTTTTCGAAGTCCAGAATTCTGGCCCTGCCGATGTTTGCCCTGAAGCCTCCAGAAATACACTAAATCACCTGGCATGAACATGTCATAGTCCCGGGCCTTCGAGTTCCGGAGTCTGGTCAGCTTCTCCTGGTACTGCCAGTCCACAAAGGCTTTCTCGCTGAGGCGGCGCAACTCTTCGCTTCGGGCTAGTCCACCTGCTGGGTGGTGAAGCAGACTTCCAGGGAGCCGGTGTATGTCCGGCACGAACATCCGGTCCTCGAAATCTGGTGACTTTCCGAACATCCACTGAAAGGGGGAATACCCCCGAACTGGCTCGCGCTGATTCCAGGTCCGGATAGCTTGTGCCAGCAGGACCTCTGGTCCCCATTCAGGATGTTCTGCCGCAGCCTTGCTCATCAGCTCCTTTGACCACTGGATAACTCGCTCAACGATGGAGACTTTCCAATGTGCATCGGCTGGAATGTTCTCCACCTCGATCTCCAAACTTTGGAAATGTTGGTCCAGTTCCTTGGAGCGACATGCCCCGTCCGGATCTGATCGCACCAGCTGTGGGACCCCAAATCATGGCTCCCACAATTCATGGAATGCGGTGGTGATGCTCTTCGCAGTCAGGTGTCCTCCGCCATCGGCTCGGAACACTTTTCCTACTGCAAAACGGCTCGCTTCATCCACATACACAACGAACTGACACTTGTTGCTTTGGGACTCTGGAGGAGGACTCCACCACCCGGCGTCAAACTGAACCACTTTGCACCGGTCGGTGCTGACTTCCAAGTTTGCCAGTCTCCGAGGAACCGGCCGTTTCCGCTCTTCACATGTGGCACATTTAAACTCCCGCGCCAATTCCAAAACTTGACTACTGGCCTTACGGGCCTCCAAGCTTTTGATGAGGCTTTCGTAGCTTCCATGTCCGGAGGCTCTGTGCAGCAACTGCAACTGTCGCTGAACCTTCTCCTTTTCTTTGGAGGTCAGGGGGCCTGTTTTGTTAACCGCATGCGCACTGGCTTTGGCTTGGGCCTCCAACCCCAAACAACAAGGACACAAGTGCAAACTGCCTGACTGTTGCAAATCCCAATGCTCACACATGCACCGCGAAATTGGCTTGGCAAGCTTCAACTGTTCGAGGCGCTCAGCATGTGCTTCTTCCGCATGCCTACCACATGACACCTGTAACATGTGATACACCGCACGCCTAGCAAATTCCGGACTGTAGAAGGCGGTTCTCCGAGTGTCCCGCCCTTCCGCCTGAGCATGTGCTTTTTGACAATGTGGACCCGGACACGGATTGTGAACATTTCTGGCGAACACCCCACACGTGGACTCCACCCGCCAATCTTTTCCCAAAAGTTTATTGCTCTGCAAACTTCGGAGGTTGACCTGGCAACTGCTAATGATGGCGGTGTGTGTGGAGCAAGTGTTGCGCCAAACATCCATGTGCTTCCATTTCCAAGCTCGGCATCTACTGGACCATTCCCAATGGACAAAGCATCCCCGGGCATGTGCATACGTGGCAATGATGAGACCTCCTAGATGTTGACTACGATCTTGCTGTTGCTTTCCCTTGAGGTTGGCAGCCTGTTCAGGATTACGCTGGTTCAAGTTCTGCATGGGACTGAAGCTGCTGCACTCTGTCGACAGCCAAACATGGTCCGGAGCTTCCCGATCAATGACTTCCAACACAGCTTTCGCACCGGCAGGTGTGGAGATATCAAACCCATTAAAATCACTGCAACGCATCGCTCGAAGTTTGTGTTTTTCCTCCACCTCTCTGGAAAGCAACGAAGTTCTTCCAAGTTAATTGGATGCTGC